TTAGGCGCTAATAATTACGATTTTGTAAAATTTTATATAACTTTTCTTCTCAGTTTAACCCAATCTACTATAATCTTTGGGGTCGTCCATATCGAATCTGACACCCTGTATATCCTGTCTGGTTCCGCCGTTAGATACGGATAGACATTCAAAACTGACTGCGTATAGGAACGGATAGGATTCGTAATTATGTCTGCACATAGATTCGGATAAGTTCCATTCCATTAGGAATCAATTAGATGCAGTTAGCCTTTCCCTACCGTTTTTGCGTATGTACATAATCTTATACATTCTGCAACATTTTTCATCTGCTTCTATCCGTAATTGCAGGGCCAAAAACGCATAGTAGAGCAGTTAGAAACAGTTAGAAACTGATAGAATCCACGTTCTATCCGTTTCTAACGGAATTTTTACCAGGGTTGATAACGGCGGATTCGAGTCAACTGAAAATCGGCCGCGAAGTGATCTATCTCGCTGAGCTCTGTAGTAACATGAAAAGTAGTTACCGATAATTGGTAACGGCTGTCTGACTAGTTTCAACGTTTCGTGCGTAGATGGCGCGGGTATTGAATTGCGTTGTGATGGCAGCGCACATTCGAATCGCTCGAAGAAGCAAAAGTGCGCAATATTTCTACGTTTGGATGACACATTGAGTTTTTTTTTCGAGAGCTTGAAACTGGAATACGTTGCTCGATATGATTGTTATATAATTATAATGTTCTGTTTCCTTCTTATGCAGGCAAAAAAAGGGAAATACGTATGTGCGCGCGCGCGATGGCGCTTTTAGAATCCGGATCAACAACCCAGTGGCAGAAGGGTTGAGATTTGAAAACCTCAAAGGGAGGGTTACAGCTTTACAAAATGATTGATAAAACAAAGCACTTCCTCGTCTCCAAACACACTCTGACTGACAATGAGTAAGTGTGGTCACATGATATAAACATTCTTTTCTTTTTAATACACTATTTATAAATGAAGAACACTCGTGCTTTCTTGCTTTTCGTCAAAGAGGCCTAAGTTCCGGAAAACGAGGGACGCAAGTTTGCGGAGATAAAAGTTCCAAAGACTCGGCGATCCCACTTGAAGTGGGGTCATCTCTTCAAGGGATTCAAACCCGGGCGAACGTAGTTCGCTTATCGATGCGTGCCGAGATAAGCGGACGCGGTCCTGCCGTCGAAGAACGCGCTCCTTCCGAACTGGGAATCTGACCGTGGGCGTGCGAGCACGAAGCGTCGCGACGCTTCGTCGCGGCGCGCATCCTCCGACGCAGATGTGCCGGGCGCCGAGCGCCGGTCGCGAAGCGGAGCCACCGCGGATGATCGCCGCGCGGGTTGCAGCCGATAGTTAACGCTCTTCGACGCCCTTGTCGTGATGCGCGGCCGCTCCGTTTCAAGTTTCAATTTGACGGTCCTCGTGGCTGCATGCGGTCTGTTGACGGGCGACGGTGCCGACGGTGCCGACGGTGCCGCCGACGATGCCGCCGCCGGTCCGTCGTCGTCGCTGAGCAAAGACCCGCGTTGTTCGTCGCCACTCAGCGTGGTCCTCGGCCCGGAGGGCCCGGAGAACGGAGCGGACAGTGCGGGGTCGCCGGCCCCGGCGTACAACGGCAGCTTTTCCCACGATGGCATTGACTACCCGGCCGAATTACGCTGGACCGACGGCAATGCCACTTACGGCTGCATTTGCCGATTGCGCAGCTGCATCAGGAAATGCTGCCGCGACGACGAGGTCCTCAGGAAGAATTCCGAGAAGGAGGCGATCTGCCAGAAAATGCCGCGGAACGGCACGGGCGCCAGGACGCCGGATCTGCGTTTGACGAGCGACCAGATGAGCGAGGAGATACGGTACATCGACAAGCTGAGCCAGCACTTCCTCTTGATACAGGACAACTTCTGCCCCGGCCGCCTCTTCGATCTGAATCCCGACGAGAACGGCGAGGACAGGATTGTCCTTCAGGCGAACGGCAGCTTCGTGGACGCCGACGGGAAGGTCTTTCCGTTCTGGAATTATTGCATCGACTGGAAGGTGACCGTCGACCGGATCGGCATCCTGGTGTGCTGGAAGCCGGAGATGGAGGCCGCCGAGACTTCGGAGAACGAAGAGAAGTACATGGCTCACCGGCATGTGGGCATCATGGTGTCCATCCCGTTCCTCGTCGCCACCTTCCTCGTGTACGCGATCACCCCCGAGTTGAGGAACCTCTACGGCAAGACGCTCATGTGCTACGTCATCTGCTTGATCGTCGCCTACGTCTTCCTGATCCTGGCCAGCTACATTTACATATCTCCGATACGCGCGCTGTGCTTCACCACAGGTAAGCAACCTCCTTGTGCAGCCGCTAATTGCGGCGGTCAACACTTCCGCGATGTGCGAACATCCGCGCGGATATGCCCTCGTCCATCGCGATCGAAAGCTCGATCCACTACTTCGGTAGAGTTGAAAAGTAATTTATGTGGCGGCATCGTTGCTTTACGTAACGCGGGAGAGATTCATGACCGCGCTTCGCGTTTATACGCGGGACAATAATTAAAACGACTCTCGTACCGAGCCAATGTACTTTTTAATTTCGAAAAACAAATCTACGACTCTACGTTGTTTTGCCCTACCTTATTTTCTATGCGGAATGGCGATCTTGGGAATATTATCTCGAGAGAGTATCTACACGAGTGCGAATAACAGTGGATGACGCTATGCGCTAATTAAATTAATCTAATGTTTATTAAACACTCCGCATGCACTCTGACACTTGTAGCGAGTAACGAGCGAGTCTATAGCTCCTTTTAAAAATTGTTAAATCACTTCGCGCGACAGTAATCAAATATCTTGAATCTTTTACATCTTAATTTTTGTATTTAAATCGTAATTTATGCCTGCGTCTTTCGGCGCTTTTAAAAGTAGTCAATCGTGAGTAAAATTATCGGCTGACGACTGAAGAATGCATAATTGCGAACTTGTAGACGCGAAATTGTGCGCTTAGTCACTAATTATATTAATTAATTCGAAATGCATCGATCGATAAAAAATCACTGCAGGTAGAAAAGTTATAAATATAAGAAATAAATATTAGGTAAATAAAAACATACACATATATATATAACTGTTCTCTGAATAGATTAAGTTATATCGACTGATCTCTTTCGCAAGGTCGTATATCAGTTTAGGCAATTTCTGGAAATTGACGCACAACCTTGCGAAAGAGATTAGTCGATATGTCTTCTAGGTATAAGAGGTTCCGATTTTCTTTTATCTCTAGCAAAGCTTAATCCTTCCAACGACCCTAGCGGAAAAAATTTCTATAAATAACTACAAAAAATTGACTCGAAATAGAAATTTGTAGAAATTTTTATATCTTCGTTGAAACATTTATTTCTTTGTAAAAATATCTATAAAATAGTATCACAAATTACAATGTTCTGAAATCAAGAAATTATTGCAAGTAGTATTTCACGAAAATGTACAATTTTGTAAAAATTAGCACAAAACTTTACTAGTTTAAAAAATTTGAGAAACAACGAAATCTTAAAGAACTAAAACATCTGCTTGCTTGTAGAATATTACAAAAATTAACAAAAGTGTTCCAATTCCAAGCATTTTTATGTTGATTTTTCTAACACTTTTTAAATTTACGTAAAATTTCTTAGATTCTGGCAGTTATATTTAATTTTTTTGTAGAATTTTGTAGAATTATCTCCGGCGGGGAAAAGAAGGGAACTCTGTGTATTAAATGTCCTTTTTCGATAGATTCATAAAAACGATAATTACATATTTATAATGTGGACCTGTGGGGATCGGTTACTCTACTCCATAATTGTATTATAAGTGAACGCACATGTACGCTATGTTATCGCGTGTGAAATGTATGTTATCACTATCTATTCCACCCATTAATATGGAGCACAAATAGGTGGCATAGGTATGAATCAGCCAGGAGCGTGCTTTTTTCCTGCACGCACGATTCCGATATCTCTGTGATTAGCAATGATGCAACCAACTACGCATATATACTACGCTTCCTGATACAATTTAATCCTTGGTATTCGGTCCACGTTATTTCGAGGAAAGCGCGAGATCGAGAGAGTCCTTCCGACGAGGGAAGCCCGGATCGCAGGCCAAGCTAAGAACCTGTCTCGGCGCCCCTCGAGCCATCACTACCTTCGATTTCCCGTAAAACAAATGTTAATGATTCCCCCCATTGAGTGCGGCGCGAGATACGGGCGGCGTGTGGAAACCGGTTTGTACGTAGCGCGTTTCGTTGTATCCGCAATGATCAGGCATCGTCGCTTACAGGGTGGGAAAAAAGTATACGCGAGTAACGGTAAAATACGATGCAACAATATTATCTCAATCTTCAATAACGCATCTTTCTCACGCAGCCGAGCGCGGCAGCGCGACGAGATCGAGGGAGAATCGGCTGCGGGAATCGGCGCGAGACCTTTCCTACGCCCGGGTACCATCGATTAATAGCTTTTTGGAGATAAATCTGCCGGGCCTGTATACAAAGTAACACCTGGTGAAACTTGAAAACTCTGTTACCCGCCGTTGTCCGACCGCCCGTGAATCTATTCTCAGTTTTCGCGCGGGTCCTCGTGAAACTATAATGCCTTCCCGCTGGAGCATTAAATATCTAAACAGGCAGGCGTCTAAATTTACGTTGCCGCCGGATTGGTCAAGCTGCCATCCATAGACCGCGGAAATTTGTCAATGAGGTTCTCTCTTTTTCTTTTTTCGAACCGCCCTGTATACGCGGCTTCGCAGCAGGTAGCCTGCTTCTCTAACGCCGCCGGCTCGTTGTCTGGTAGTCTCGTCTCGTTGCTCACGCGAGTACGCGCGCCTCTCGCGCGCTCTTCCTCCGTCCGTCACCAGGAAAAGTGAGTTTCGCGGCGACGCCGAGCACAGTGCCAGGCTTTATCGAGTCCAGTGAGATAGCTGAAAGTCAACCGTAATCGTTAGTGATAACAGTGCTATATTTGAACCCTGGATGGGCATTTCGTTCGTTTCGACGATCTGAAACTCGTGAGGAAAGAACGAAGAGATCGTGCAAGAGCTGATGCCTCCTCTCGCGTTTATTCCGTTCTCTACGATAAATACTTAATTATATCACTTACGTCGATAACTCGTTGATTGACGTAAATCTTGTTCTGCTCTGACGTATTTGAACACACGCCCCTTTCTCAAACGGTCGAATCAACGGAATTGATCACCAGATTAGCCGAATAGTATCCATAATATACATAAAAATTGAATATTTGTTTGCAACGTTGCGTGGCAGGTAAAGATATTGTCTTACATAAACAGATTGTTTATTCGACAAAACAGCACCAGACAGTCGAGCGTAAATACATACGAGTTACAAATATTGTCACACATTTAACTGTACAAGTGTCTCGCTGCAGACGGAAGCTTTGAGATTGTCACTAACACATTTTGTGGAAATTACAATCAGAATTTAGATGCGAATTCGCCTTTGTATATTTTCGTCGTTCGCTAACATTTTATTGGTCCTTTTTACTTAAAATCCAGGGAGCGATTGCCAAAAGGATAAAATTCTTATTACATATTTACGTACGTACGATTATAAATTATATTAAAAGTACAGATAACATTTAAAACGATGCAAAATCACACCTGTAACATCTCAATGTCGGTACTTACGTAACCACTTACCATTTACATATCTGTAATACGTATCTGTGAATAGTACGCTTTTTGTAAATAACTATATCTCATGTGATCGAGGATGCTGTTGTATCCGCCACATGGTATTCTTCACACCACACACTGA